GTGATATCACAATTAATGAATACAATATATGAGGCGTATATAAAATTTCAGTACAATTGGCTTGAGAAATATTCACCATGGCTGGTATATTCAAAACACTTAAAGGGAGCTTTGTGTTTATACTATGTGATGTTTCCTTCCACTTCGGTTCAGGGAGTCCAAGGTTCTTTCGCTGTACGCCCTTTTATTCGATATAAGCATATGCGTGAATATGGTAAGAACCATATTGCAAGTCGATGGCATTTGGCAGCAGTCAAAGCTGCAAAATCCTTCATGGAGGAAGCTCCTATAGATGTCAAATCATATCAATCATAATATTTTGTGGAATTCATGTCTTACCATTAAGAGGCAAAGTACAAAACGAAGGAGTGTTTGAAGACTTAATTCATTTCAGAATTAATAGTGGCGACGTAGACCTAAAACGACAGATAGAAGGTAAAAAAAATGTTACCTATATGTCGCCATAAATAAATTCGGTCACACAGGAAACGTCGCGCCTTCCAAATCATAAACCTATAAAAGATAGGGTAACACTTCTTCTTCGTGCATATTCTTCTAGAGATATAAAATTAAAACCTACGTTTGTTTATCACTCTGCCAATCCTAGAGTATTTAAAACAGAAAAAGTCAATAAAGAGAGCTTGGGAGTTTACTGGCAATTTAATAAGAAAGCTTAGGTTACCCGTTAGCTTTTCAGCCAATGGACAAACAACAAAATGGACAAAATTTAATATCTTGGAATGCGTTAAATTAGTTTTAAAATCATGGGATGATCTATCCATAAGGGTACTAAGATCGGCATAGAAAAACTTGATGAAAAGTATTTGGGTTGTGCTATAATTTTTTTTTGATGTTAACACCAGCAGCATTGTTAGTACAGTTTTAGAACTAGGAGAATTAGAAAAATATAATGCCGAAAGCATCACAACTTCTTTATTAAGATTAGTTAAAAGTTTAAGCTACCACTAGAAAATTTTCAGGGTTTAGGGACTAATAATGTGGCAGTCATGACTGGAATTAATAAAGGTGTCTTCACTAAATTAAAGAATTTGTGTCCTGACTTGATACTAATCAAATGCGTTTGTCATTTGCTGCAATTAGTTGCAGTTGCTGCGTTAACCCATTAATTACCAACGTTGCGTAAACGCAACATATGGTTTACAATTTTTTTTTAACCGTTTGCAGCTATTTTAGAGTTTCAATTATTTGGTAGTAATTCGAGTATACTATGAAGCTTTCGGGAAAAAATTTAATTTGGCACAATTTTCATTACAATTAAAAAAAAAAAATTTTGAATTTTGCCGATTTTTAGGTATTCTGCAGCACTGTACTTTGAAATTTATTTGCGACGAGTGACTAACAATTTTTGGATTTTGTCATGTCTATTATAAACTATTATCTTTTCGGATCATATTGACGTAAATTTCATTTTTGTAAAAAAAAAATTTTTAATAAGAAATTGAGTAATTTTAATGTTGCGTATTCGCAACGTTGGCGGTATAAGGCAATAAATTTCTATTTTAATACTTTTTATATTGACAGTATATTTCTAAACTCGAGGGGTGACATCGCGAAGTAGTATAAGGGAATAAAACGGTGACATGTGACTTGCTCCAGAATAGAGCAAAAATAATTTTGAAGTTTTACCTTGTCGCACTAACGACCGAGCCCCTTGTCGTAAAAATACAAACTAAAAGAAAATTTTTCTAACCTAACTTTTAAGAATTGTCATAAAACAGTTAATAAATATGATATAAATGTAAATAAACACTGATTTCGATTTCCTAACTTTAAAATGTGTGAAAATAAGTGGAAAAATAATCCAAAAAGACCCCTAACTTTACGTGAATTGGAAGCCGAATTGGAAAATATTACCGATAATGAAATTGACGTTGCTATTATTCCTCCAACGGGAGATGACCTAACTGATGAAGAGTATTTTGACGACAACGATCTAACAGGTAATTTTCGTAAAATAATCTTCTGAATGCTATCTCTATACGTTACATTCATGAGGATAGACTTTTACTAGTCATTTTTCAGGCAATGAAAATGAATTGACCCAAGATGTTGCTGGCACTTATGAAATAATTTCAAATAATATTGATGATACGGTAGACGCCAATTTCCCCGAGCCTTCTACAAGCCAACCCCCTACTCCTGGACCTGGACCAAAAAAAAGAGCCAAATTATCTAAATTTTGTCCAAAATGGGAACATAAAAAACATCCCACATATTTTTCATCGCCTGAGTCCAATCAAATTACCCGTGAGCATACGTTGAAAGAGACTGTAGAAAGAAAAAGTCCTCTAGAAGTGTTTGAAATGTATTTTGACAATGAGGTTCTAACACTTATTGTAGATTTTTCGATAAAATATGCCCATGATAATAATAGACATCAGTATATATTTTCTATAGATGATTTAAGAAAATTTTTGGGAATAATGATTTTAACGGGTTATCACACTCTTCCACAAATGGATATGTACTGGAGTAAAGACGAGGATAAAGGTGTGTCCTTGGTCAAAAATTGTATGAGCAGAAATAGATTTCGAGATATAAAGAAAAATTTACATCTATGTGATAATGCTCTACTAGATAAAACAGATAAATTTTTCAAACTCCGTCCTTTATTTGAACTTATAAATAAAAGAAATGTGCAGTTTGGAATATTTACCTATAACTTATCTATCGATGAAGAAATGGTCCCGTATTTTGGTAAGCATTCAGCCAAAATGTTTATAAAAGGAAAACCTGTAAGATTCGGCTACAAACTATGGTGCCTCTGTTCGTCTGATGGCTACCTGTACCAGTTCATACCATATGGAGGTGCCAGAGTTGACAAAAGCGAATTGGGATTAGGAGCAGACGTAATCATTAGTCTTCTAAAAGTTTTAAAATCGCCTTCAGAACACAGAATTTTTTTCGACAATTTTTTTTCCTCTTATAAATTATTTACTGTTTTGAAGGAACTGGGAATTTTTGCGACTGGAACTATTCGTGACAACCGAATAGAGAAATGTCCCCTGGAATCGGCTAAATCTCTTAGAAAAAAAGAAAGAGGTGAATTCGATTTTTATTTTGATTCAGCTGCAGAAGTGTCTGTTGTTCGTTGGAACGATAATGTTGTGGTTACTGTTATTTCAAATAATTGCTTCATAGATCCCATGGTACAGACAAAGAGATATAATCGGAAAGAGAGGAAAGAAGTGAACATTCCTCAACCTAATGTTATACAACAGTACAACAAACATATGGGGGGAGTGGATTTACATGACAACGGTATTGCAAACTATAGAATTAGGGTACGAGGAAAAAATGGTGGTGGCCCCTTTTTATAAACGTAGTTGATAGTGCTATAGTAAATGCATGGAGAATATATAGATTGGGAAATGACAGCAAAATGAGTCAATTAGAATTCCGGTCCTATTTGGTATTAGCTTTGATAAAATCGTAAAAATTACAAGCCGATTCTGAAAAGACAGAGAACCCAATCAATTTCAAAACTGTACAGACAATATCTCTTGGGCGACCATCCAAAAATAGTCTTCCCAACGAAATCAGAACAGACAAGGTGGGACATGTTATAATAAAAAATGACCAAGGTATTCGTCGTAGATGCCGACAATGTAGAAGCCAAACAATATTCTCATGCATAAAATGTAATGTTTTTTTACATACCGAATGTTTTGCTCCATTCCATGAAAAATAAAAAAAAAAAATTACTCCTTTTTCAGCCAACGTTGCGTAAACGCAACATTTTGTATTAGGTTCACCTATATATTTTTTAATTTTTTGGATTTGTATTATTTAATGTGTTTTTAAATAGATTTAATTAAAAAAATATTTAAAGTTAAATTTTTTCAACCCTTGGCCATTAATGGGTTAAAAGAATTGCCTCGTAATTTAGAGTTTTTAATTCATGAAACTTACGACTGGTTTTCAAAATCACACCTTAGAAAAGAAAAATACATAAATGCTTATATTGCAATTAATGGCAAGAAGCCATTAAAAATACCCCAAGCATGTGATATCCGATGGTTATCAGTTAGTTTAGCTGTGTACCAAGTATATAACCAATGGCTCGAATTAAAAAGCCATTTTAAAGTTTGTTGCTATAATGAAAAGTGCTATACAGCTGAATTGCTATACCAAATGTATACTGATGAGCAAAATTATGCTTTTGTGTGTTTTATTAAACCAGTGTTGCATGATTTAAATATGGTAAATAAAAGTTTTGAAGCTAATAATGCGGACTCTACGAAATTATTAGAAGATTTAGTTAACCCTCATCCGGACTTTGTGTCAAATTGACACAATTTTCAAAATTAATTGATGATATTGTTGTTATTTACGGTCGAATCAACTAGATATTTTGGCTCAGTGAACGAATTCATATTTATTTTAAATTTCCATTTTTGTTTTTGCCATAATTCTTACCTAGTAGCCGGAAAAAAAAAGAATCCTTAATCCGGACTTGATGTGTCAGATTGACACACCGTAAAGTGACACTTTACTAGGTCCCAATTTTGACTTTGCAAGCAGATGTTATTGTACAGGTTGTCGTAACAGGTCTTTGCAATAAAAATTTCATTCTAAACAATTCATTTAGTGAAACGTTTAGAGAAATACGTGTAATATTTTTGGTTTGGTGATACACTTGAATTTATTATTCTACATTTACCAAATGGATGAATCGTGGTTTGATCAGTTTGGTAGTGATGACACTAACACCGAGGATGGTGACGACTATATTCCAAGTGAAAATGAAGTTGAAGATGAAGTAAGGGATGAATATGATACCGACGATTCTGATGTTGACTTCATTGACCAAGAAACAAGAGAGGCGGCTGTTTTAGATTCAAATGTATTGTTTTTATCAAAAGATAAAACAATACAATATTCTAGACAATCAATGCCAATTGCTCGTTCTAATAGTTCTACCTCCTTTGCTTCCAAACAAGGTGCGTATATAACGTATTTCTCGTGTCCTGAAACTATCCGATGAATTGCTTGTGGTATAGGTCCAACACCGTTTGCTACCGCTCGTATATCAGACACATTGTCTGCTTTCTTATTATTTATTGAACCATTTGAAAATACGGTCGTTGAAATGACGAATTTGTATGGCGTTCGTCGCTATAGAGAAAAATGGTTAGCTGTCGATGTAACCACAATGCGTGCTTACTATGGATTGCTTTTATTAGCTGGTGTTTATCGTTCTAAGGGTGAATGTATTGAAGAATTGTAGAATGATAAACATGGCCGCCCAATTTTCGCTGCAACTATGGCAAGTAGCCGATTCAAGGACATCAACCGTTGTCTACGATTCGACGATAAAGAGCAAAGAGAAAACCAAAAAGATAAACTTGCTCCTATTCGCTTTATTTTTGATAATTGGGTTCAACGGTTGAAACAGACGTATATTCCGGGAGATTTTGTTACTGTCGATGAGCAATTGCTTCTGTTTCGTGGCCGTGTACCATTCAAGCAGTACATCCCATCAAAACCGGCCAAATATGGCATCAAATTATGGGTTGCAGCTGACTCTGAGACGTACTATGCATATAATTTGCAAGTGTATACAGGTCGTGATAAAAATTGTGGTCGTGAAACAAATCAAGGGGAACGTGTTGTTCTTGATATGTGTGAAGGTAATTTCTTCGTATATTCTAGTTTTTTTTTTATTTCGATCTTTTTCTTCCGTTAGGGCTAAATGGGAGAAATGTCACTTGCGATAATTTTTTCACATCGTATCGTTTGGCATGTGAGTTGAAACCAATCTTACACCATCGTCGAGCATGTATGTTGTCATATGTTCCGAAGAAACGTCGATTTGTTACTTTACTTTCGTATCATTGGACTGTTCGAATTGACATCATTGATTCCGCTAATCCTGAGAAGAAACCGTACATAATAAAATTTTACAATAAAACTAAGGGTGGCGTCGACGTGTTAGACCAGATGGTTGGTACGTATCGATGCAAGCGAAAAGTGAATAGGTGGCCTGTTGCACTGTTTTGTAACATGCTTGACATTTCTGCTTACAATGCTTTCGTTTTATTTACACAATTGAATACCAATTGGAATAGTGCAAAAAGAAGTTTTCGCAGAAGATTACTTTTGATAGAAATCTGCCAAGCATTATTCATTGTTTTCCTTATATGAAGCAACGAAACACTAGACCACGGGGTACAAATGCGCTGGCTGTTGTAGATAACGTCCGCAAGCAATCAAATGAACAACCATCAACATCGGGTGCTTCAAATTCGCAAGATGCACATGTATCATCACCATTATTATTGGAACACGCACCACCGATCAAAAAAAGAGCCCGTTGTCACATGTGCCCATCTCGCCCAAACAGTAATCTACACAGCATTCGCTGCGACAAATGTATGAAATACGTTTGTCCAGCTCATCGATTTACTGTTTGTGAGGATTGTGTAAAGTTGATTAGCTAAATGATTTTTTTTGTTATTCTCCTTTTTGTATATGAAATTTGTATGTATTTTTTTCAATAAAATAAAAAAAAGTAAAGAAATATCTTTATTTTCATCTATTCTAATGCATTCAATCAAACCAATCATAAGAAAAATAGACAGACAATTATTGTCTGCCATTGTGTCAATTTGANCGTGCGGCCGGGGGTGAGTCGGTTATGTGTTAAACTATGTTGAACTTTCAAGAATACGTATTAGTTTAAGTATTATGCGCCAATTGTATAAAAGAGTTGCACAGTAATACATGGTGTAGTGGAAGACCAATTCACTGTAATTGAACTCCACCATGAGATTGCCTCTAAAAGTTAATTTTGTATTTATTATATTATAATCTTTTTTTTTTATTTGCGATTTTTTGTACTTTTTCTTCTTGTATTTATTTATTTTTGTGAGGCAATAAAGCGATTATTATTATTATACTGACATAACCTAAAAATAAAACAAAAAATTTATAATTCTTAAACCAAAGGTATAAGTTGAGCAAATCATTACCTACTCTACATTTACCTACTCATTTACAAGTTATTCTCAGTCTTACTTGTTTGGCTTTTCTGTCAAAGTTTAAAACAAACAAAATAATTTTTAACAATCTAATATTTCCTCCACGAAATTTAACTGAATTTCTTTTAGGATCAGGAGACATGTCCACCACGTGTCATACTAAATCAAAACATAACATATTATGATGTGGATGAAAGAAAAGACAAAGTTGTAATTGAAGAAAGTTTTGACACAGATGTAAGTAAAAATAGACAAGATAATGTGTATGAAGAAGAAGACCCAGTAGGAGAAAATTTGAACACGACTGTTAATACCGGTTTTGATAGTGACGATAGTATCAAAGACAAAAATTACTGTCCTTCTGATACGTTATCTGAAAGTGATGAAGAATCTATTTTAGGGGAGGTAAATCATGAAGATATGAATATGGAAAATCAAAATACAATAATAGAAAGTGAACAGGAAATGACAGACCCAGCCGATAACAATACTAAGCCAAAGAAAAAATTAACAAGAAAACGAACGAGAAATCCCGAATCTTGGGAAAAAAATACCCGGAAGAAGAGAAGAAATATTGGACAAGAAAAGGTTAGTACAAAGGAAAAAAACGTTGTTGCAAAGAAAATGAAAGATTCCTGTTCAGAAAAATGTAGACTAAAGTGTCGCTCTAATATTACAGAAGAAGAGAGAAAGAATTTATTTGAATATTACTGGAGATTGGGTGATATCGAGCAGCAAAGGTCTTTCCTGAATAAATGTATGTCTGATTGCATAAATCCTGAGTATCAAGCTTCTAAACCTGGTAGCAATCGCTCAAAAAATGTGAGATATATATTTTCAATTGATGAACGCCATATCCAAGTATGTAAAACATTCTTCAAAAATACTTTGGCCATAAACAATAGATTAATTTTTACCACGATTAAGAAAAGAAATGTGCAAGGAGGCATAAACAAGGACCAAAGAGGAAAACGTAAAAGTGATAAAGCAATACGGGAGGATATAAAGGACGATATTAGGACGCATATAAATTCTTTTTCCCGTGTGAGTTCTCATTATTGTCGAGCGCGGACCAATAAAGAATACTTGGACGGAAGTTTAAATATCAGTACTATGTACAGACTGTACGTCGAAGACTGCGTTAAAAAACAGAAACAGTATGCTAAACATTGGGTGTATGCGCAAGTCTTAAATACTGAAACAAACATAGGATTTCATATCCCCAAAAAGGACCAAAGCAGTTTATGTGAAAACTACAAAAATGGGAGCGAAGAGAGTAAAAAACTTATTAAACAGAAATTTGAAGATCATCTTAGAGAAAAGAACTTAGTAGACAGGAAAAAGCAAGTGACATCGAAAATAAAAATGTGGAAGTATACTGTTATGACCTACAAGCGGTACTGTCGACGCCCTGCGATGTAAATAGTTTCTACTACAAGAGAAAATTAGCCACCTGCAATTTTACACTATTTGACGTCAAGAAAAAGAAAGGATACTGCTATTTATGGCACGAAGGTGTCGCAAGAAGGGGAGCTAATGAGATTGCAAGCTGCGTGTACAAATTTATTTCCTTATCCTCAAAAAAAAACTTGGTGTTTTACTCAGACAACTGTACTGGGCAAAATAAAAATAAATTTATAATTGGGATGTATTTATATTGCATTCAAAGCATCGAGAAAATAAAATCTATTTCTCATAAATTTCTCGTCGTTGGCCATACTCAAAATGAGGGGGACAGCATGCATGCTGCCATAGAAAAAGAAAAAAAAAGAATGCTGAAAAGTGGACCCATTTACGTGCCGTCCCAATGGAGTGTCGTTGTTGCTAGTGCTAAAAAGCAAGGTACCCCTTACGCAGTTGATGAAATTTCGACAACAGATAAAATTGATTTTAAAACCCTATCGAAAAAAATTGGAAATAATTACAACATAAACACTGATAAAGAAAAAGTAAATTGGAAGGATATCAAAGTATTTAGAGTAGAAAAGGAAGAATATTTTACAATTCAATACAAGACATCTTATGGACAAGAATCATTCCAAAAATTTCAGGTGCGAAAAAGTCTGAGATTGCGAAATAACAGGAATGTCTTGGACCTCACTCCAGCTTATACAAATCCTCCCACAATTTCTTTGGAGAAAAACAAGAATTTAATGGAATTGTGCGCCGAAAATGCTGTCAAAAGTGTACACTGGCCCTTTTATGAAAGTTTAATGACTTCAAACACCAGCAAATCTGAGACAGAGTCCGAGGATGAATAATTTTATATTTCATGAATATATTGTTCTCCAAATTAAGTATTTTTTATAAAATATTTGTATTTTTGATATAACTCATAATAAATGCGTTCTTATCTTTTTTATGAATTATTTCTATACTTGTTGCAATATATATTTTTATTACATTACCATATTTAATTCAATAACGTAACAACTAATATCAAACTTCTGTTTTTACGGTAATCAGGTAATTTTCTTTTTTATTGGACAATACTCACAAATGTATCAAGTGATTCAATGGTTATGAGCCAGTTCAGAAGTTAATTAAAATCAAGGATAATTAGACTATCGGTATTTTTATGTCACCTGAATTTTCAAATAGTAGTTATCTCAAAACATTAAATTTTGACTTGTTACTGTATGGTACTGGGGTATCGACATATGCAATTAAGCATCAAAATTTCATTTTAAGCCATTCATTAGTAAATTGAGAAAAAAATCCCAAAAAAGTTTATTTTTCGGTCCGCTTGGGTAGTATAACACCTTAAAACAGGAATTTCTGTTTGATTTGATTTTTAAATATGATAAATAATGTCAGTGTGATTTAACAAATACTTTAAACGCGATTCTCTCAACACCTTTTTCTTGCTTGGTACAATAGGCTTATGCCTATTTTACTGAGACATTTTTTAAGATATCAACTTTGTTTTGGTGTGAAAATATTCATAATTTACTCCTTTATTAAGACAAAATAATAACTCAAATATGAATTTTTTAGATAACTGGTTTCTTTTCGCATCAAAATAGTAATTTGTTGATTATTTTTACTTGTTTGTTATCTGAACTTATGAATTATTATTTTTAAACGTTTTATATAAAAGCAAATTAAGAAAGATGAATTTTCCTACTTTAATTTGCTTCTTTTTTTCACAATTATTAAGCTGATTCTTCAGATCATGAAACCTATTTCCTATTTTCATATAAATAACATATCTTTTTATAAGTAATTTCCTTTTATGCAAATTTTTTGGGAATGTAACAACAGAATGTTATATTATTTAAATTTGCTTTGTGTAGTTTTCTTAGTGTAATTAAGAATTCTAAAATATAACTGATTCTCTTTAAATGCTTTAATAACAGCCTTATTCATGAATTATACCATTGTTCTATTACTCTGAAAGAGTATGGTGAATTGAATTACATTCCTTTGAAATGAATTATGAAATTGTAATAACAGTAACATAAAACCCATTTTTTCCATTGCAAGGTCATTAACTTATTCTCTCTTCTAATTGTAATCTAAAAAGTAATAAGCATACATTTCAGGATTTTATAAAAGAAAAATTACTTTCTCACCCAGCGTAACCATCTTTATCACTACCGAATAAGCAATATGGGCAATATGTAAGTGAAATCAATTTTAAATACATTAACCCACCAAAAATTTAACTTTTAACGCGTCTCTATAAATTGTTATGACAGCTATGAAAAGAAGGTTATCTGCAATAAGTTGGTGATAAGCTCGTAACCAACGTATAAACGAAAAAGAACTAAATTGTTTTAAATTTTAAGAGACAATTAAAGTTAATGACAATTAACTAGAGACAATTAAAGAGGAGTTATAATAAAAATTAAGTAAATTTTTTCTTGATCATTATCGTTAACAAAGAATTATTATTTATTAATAATTGTGTTAGTGGTGTTGTTTTACTAATACCACTAATAGATGTCGCCATTTCGTTTGTGCCTGGCAACGGTTTTGAGTTTTGACAGTTTTAATATTTTTTTTGTTTAATGTTTGTTATTTGATTTAATTTAATTGTGTTGTGTGGTTTAATGATTTTGTGAATGTTGAAACTATGTGAAGACATTTATTAGTGTTAATTACTCTTCTATATGTTATCTGTAAGGTGTTAATGTCTTGTTTTTGTTACAGAAAATCATGTAATTCCTTATGAGAAGTTAATATTAAGAGAAAATCTGACTGGAACTCAAAATACTCCTGATAGATCTCTGAGTCCATTCGTGATGTTATCTGGACACTTTGTTGTGAATGGTCTGATTCTGAATTGGTGAAAATTCTGAATTGTTTAATATACACATTATAAGAGAGTGTTGATTTTAGTTGTCACAACAGATATCGCAACTATTGTTAGAAATATGACAAAATGTTATAGAAAGAAAGTTGCTCTAGGTTTAGTATTGCATTATCTACCATATTGAAACAAATAATTGAGCTTCAAATGTGTTAGATACAGCGAATATGTTCAAAATTTTAAATGGAACATGCCCAATTTTATTATGTATTATAAAACTATAAAAAAATCTATTTACAATAATGATATCACATAATTAGGGATGACTCTTTAATTGATGATCCTGTTCATGCCAAATCAGCTGACAAAACTGGTCAGATCAAAACACAACTATTTAATTGTGAACAAAATGTATGTATTATTTAAAGATGATTCAAAACTAGCATTCCAAACGAAAACTTTATGTAAAAAAAGCTATTTCAAAAAGAATTGAAAGAAATCTTCTTTTCCCATCAGTCTTCGTTTTCGAGATAGCCGTTTTTTAATGAATTTTGAATTTATTTTAATTGAAACAGCTGTATTTATTAAAAAAGAAGATTTATTTAAATAAAAAAATGATTATAAATGTAGCTAAATGGTACATATTGTATTTTAAGAGAAAAATATGTAAATACCTATATTTAAAAGTAAAACAGGAAATAAATACTATCACTGTTTACTCAAAATTACACTTTTGTAATTATGGCGTACCGAAAGTATTTTTTCTGCGTTAACAGCAGTTAATCTTGAACGGCGGTCTTCATAAATTATTCCCAATTCAGAACATGCGCGTTCGCTAGAAACGCTACTTGCAGGGCTTCACAAATATTTTTGTGCTATTTTGCTTAATTTGGGATACAGTCTTCCATGGTCTTTCTATCAAACAATTGGATCAGAACTTCTGTCTATTATAGGTAAATTCAAAAATGCATTAATTTGTTGTAGAAAGTTATTATTAAAATTTGATAATTCATTTAGGTTGCTATTCCACACGCTTAAAATATCGTCAACATATCTAAATCATTTGATAATTTTATCATTAAATGGATTGGCAAGGTCATGTATTTTGTTTTTGTCATATTGGTTTATGAATATGTCTGCTATTATCCCCGAAATAGGGAGACCTATTAGTAATCCTGTGGTCGATTTGTAATTTTTGTTGTTGAATTGACATAAGTGTTGATTAATAAGACGGTTTAAGATTAGGGTGAGATTGGCAACTGTAGATCCATGTTGGAAATGGTGAACGAAAATTTCTTTTATAATGTCATTGGTAAAATCGGTATCAACGTTAGTGTAAAGGTTTATTACGTCGAAAGAGACTAAAATATAGATTTCTTGTATTTCAAGAAATTGTATTATCGTTGTCGTGGGACGCGTGTAGTATAACTAATATTAAGTTTCTGTGTGTGGTAAGGTTGGTTGAACAGATTTTATCTGGAGCTCGCCTTTTGCACAATGCCATTTTTTTTTTTTTTTTTTTTTTTGTAGTGTTAGGTACTAAGTTTTTTGATCTCTTGTTGTTTAAACATTCTAGTTTAGAATATATCTACACTATAGATACAATTTTTGTTATTATTATATCGTTATTATTATATATTAAAATATTATATTAATATTTTCTTTTTCTTTTGTTGTATTGAATGGTATGTGCAATAAAGATATTTATTATTATTACTATAAAGTTTGCTAGATGTATATTGGGTGAGTTATAGAAAGTTATGATAGGTGTAATGGGCATATTTATTTTGTGAACACATCTCGGAGGGCTCGAATCGTTGATTTCCTTGTAATATTTTTCATAGGCATGACGTCCAACCATCGTGAATACCCGTCAATTACAAGTAACAACATTTTTCCCTAGTATGGGCCAGCGAAATCAATGTGGATGCGTGTCCATACTTCAGACAGTACTACTCAAGAATACAACGGTACTCTTATTTCGTTTTTTCTAGATTTCTGACAAAAATTACAAGTTTTCAAAAAATCTCACTATATCATCATCGATTTTCTGCCAATAGACATAAAGACGCGCTAGAAACTGCATGGCAATAATACCAATATGCCCGTTGTGTAGCGTATGTTGTATCTCGCGTCGAAGGCTCTCTGGTATGTAAATCCTATCTTTCCATAACAATAAATAGTCTTCTACCGACATTTCCTCCCTTTTTTCAAAAAATGTATGAAATTCTTCAGGCAAATACTTCTTTTCTGGGCAGCAATCCCGAACGTATCTTGAGACTCTCTGAAAAACCTCATCCACGCAACTGTTTCTTTGCAATGACTTTTTCTTTATTGCAAGATGTTTTATACGAAGATGTAAGAGATGTGGTCGATTAGGTGATAGATCACATCTACTGTTGATGCTCGATTTTGTAGTTATAACAATTTAACAACATCGCCCATCTTTGCAATCGATTTCTTGCGACCTTATTTATTATTTTCTCCAAAGATTCTTTCTAAGGGTTTATGATCAGTCAACAACATAAATCTTCTACCGCAAATATAATGGTGAAATCGGGTAACAACAAATATTATTCCCAAAGCTTTTTTGTCAATGGCCGAGTAACGCTTTTGACAATCGTTACATTTTATCGATGCAAACGCAATCGGTCTCAAATTGCCATAGTCGCTTGTTACAACTATTGGTAACTGTGGATGATAGTGTATTAAAGTATTGTACGAAGATAATACTTCTTTTAATCGATTAAAAATGTTCTCATCTTGTTAAATATGAGTTCAATAAAACACGTGCTCTCATTTGCTACGTTTTTTATTAACTGGTTTCTATAACTCGATGATACACGTAATACAAATGTCATATACGGTATTGTAACGCCATCCAGTGGTCAAATTAACAATACATTACATCACTATTCCAACAACTATTACACATGTTATGTGTAATTTTGGAATGAATCTTCCACAATAAGATATTGCTCCCAGAAATGACCTTAGTTCGGTTATATTTGTAGGAGAAGGCATTTCCTTAATGGCCCTTACTTTTTCTCCCGTTGGATGTAATCCATTGGCATCAATGGCAAAAATGTTACTCGTTCTTTTAAAAAATGACATTTCGATTTTTGAGTTCTAATTCCAGAATTTTTTAGTCGCATAAAAACTTCCCACAACTAGTCTTTCACGCATTAGTTATGTAAGAAATTTACTCATTCGTTACTTATCAGTAATCGCAGTTACCGATTACCGACTGTGTACTCATTCGATTCCTTTCAGTAACTGCAGTTACCGATGCATTTACATCATACTGCTGCTTTGCCGGCCCCTCAAACGTGGAAATAGCATTAAACAATAAACTATCTTCATCCCATCGAAAAATATTAGCAGCTGTTTCCAATGTCTTCACCCACTGTGATACTGTTACGGGTGATGATGTAAACCGGTCATTTACGATATGGACCGGGCAATATCGTTAAAAGCCATTCCTGTCGATTTTTACGTTAATGGCCGGTCGGTAACGTAAATTCCCTCTAATAGTGGGCAATGTTGTTAGATGTAAAACACATTTGATACAATTAACAACAACGACTGGGCACTTTCTTTAATGACCACATCATGTTAGACAATGATGAAAATAAGCAGGGTGTTATTATGCTAATTGTCTGCTTTATTCTCACAAGGCAGGCTTCCATGGCATTTTGAATTACATAATATTCCTGTCGATTTACATAAACATTTCTTGGTCTTGCATTTGGTTTTGCACTGACATCGTTGGTATCCCTGAGAACCAGAGGGACTAGCGCAAGCAGCAGCTTCACGCAATGTGATTTCCTTTTCTGTGGCTCCGTGCAAAAGTTGGTCTTTATCGAGAAGTTTTTCTTTACAAGGATTGAACTGGGATCTGGTGTACTTGGATTTTAAGACACCGCTTTCTGTACCTAAAAATAAAATAATGAACTTAACAGTTTCAATTTTATTCCTAACTTACAAAGCTTGTACAGATTATCCTCAACGTGAGTGATCACCGCTAGCACATTTCGTGGCGATCCACGTGCTCTGTCAACATCAGGTACAGGAACACGTACAGTGGCCCCCACATCCACTTCCGAAAATTTTTGATTCGATAACTTCATCATTTTTTGCGCTTGCTTTTCCAAACATTCTCTAGATTTCTTTCTGTGACTGACGATATTTTCTTGAGTTCTGCAGTGGAAACAAATTCCTTTAATACCCGTGTCGCCCTCCGGTAGTAAAGTGTTGCTTGTATTGCATTTCAGTGAAACCAGTGAGGCTAAAAAATATGAAAATAAGTATAACTTTAGCAAAATCTGGCTCAGTTACTTACGCTCCAAATCTTTATCTCGCTTGTTCATTTCTGGATCCGATTCTGTTTTCTTGGTTTGTTTAGGCGCTTTTATTTCAGATGTACTGTCATTATCGTCTCTATTGTCTTCTGTAGTATCTCTTGTATTATCATATGTACTATCTTCTGCATTATCTGCTGGTATGCGTAGAGTAGTTTCGTTAATTTGCTGATCTTCTTGTAGTGCTGCTGTTGCTGCTGCTTCGAAATCTTCTTCAGAATTAAGGTTTGGTATTTCATCGTAAGGGATTCCAGCTGATGCCAACCCCACCCTTGCTGAACACCCAAACATCGCTTCGTAAGGTGATCTGCCGATACCTTAAAAATACATATCTATCACTTAACATTCATAAATAAGGAAACATTGTATCCTTCATGACCCTATG